CCTTCCCTCTCACTCCAAATCTATCTCTCTCTCTCTTTTCTTATTTCTCTTTCCTCTTTTTTTTTATTTTTACCTTTTTCGTCTCTCTTTATTCTCTTGGTTCTTTCTCTGACTCCTCTTCCTCTCTATCTCGTCCGATCCTCATCCTTTTTTCTCTTTCCTTCAATCATCTATTACTTTCTTTCCTCTTCTCTCTCCCTTTCCTGCAAACCATTCTTTTTAGATATCTTTGTCTAGTTTAAGTTGTAAGATTTAACATTTTTAAATAACAAACCAATCAAGTTTTTGAGTCTTAAAGAAAATTGTTTTAAAGAAATGTTCTTAAGAAATATTTTAAGAAATAATAAAAAATTTCAAATAAGATACCAAACAAACTCTAAGAAACTGAAACTACGAAAGAAAACGTACTAAAATTCTTTTTAATTTTTAATTTTATTTCCTTGTATTTTTAACAAATAAAAACGAAATTGTTATTCAACATATCATAAATTTATTTAAAGTTTTCAAGCAAACGAGTACTCGTATTTGTCCTTGGTCAATAAAATCAATAAAAATGCAGTCCGTGTGTAGAGTTAGGGTGCATTTGTTACATTAGATTATCTTAGACTGGACTAGCTTCAGGGACTAAGCTGGATTGGCTTAAAATAGACTGAATTAAACTAACTTAGTGAAACGTTTGATGCAGTGTCGGACTAAGAAGAAGGATAATATAAATAAGTGAAAAATGAATCTTATTTTTTTAACTAAAGAAATTTAATGCCTAAATAATGTTGAATACCACGTCATGAAAAATGCGGTCCGCGTGTAGAGTTAGGGTATTGCCATATCATCGGGGCCAATTACACCTGTCTAGTGCATGTCTACTCTCATCACTGTCATATATAATATATATTTATGTATATTGTAGTACATGCAACTTCCTTGACACTGACTACATTCAATAGGAAAAGGAAGCAAAATCTTCTTTTCCTACTTTTATTCCCACGTTGGTTCGTTGGCACTTGGCAAAGAAATCGTAAAAAGTGGACTCAATCTTAGGGTTGGGCATTTTAGTGAGCCCGGTTGGGTTGGGTTTTGAACATTAAAATTTTATTATTAGGTGAAAATTCGACCATCCGTTTAATAAGTGGGTTTAATAGGTTCGAAACTTCCACATGCCTCCAGCGAAACCCCGAAAGAAGTCGAGTCCCTCGCAACAAGGATGGTCGCGAGATCCACACCACGTCAACAGTTTCACTGTGCCAGACAATTTCGAGGGCACGATGAAGGGGGAGGTTGCAGCGGCTTGCCAATGCGGACGATGGTGTGGTATGCGACGATGCGTACAAGACTCGATGGGGTGGGGATGCGGGGAAAAAGACGAAAAATTTGACAGGTTGGGTCTGGGAAAAAGTGACGATCGAAGAATTTGACAAGAAAATTTGACGGGGTGAGAGGAGAATTTTCTCATCTCTTAATCTCTCTCACATTATCTTTCTTTCTACTCGAACAGTTATGGTTTTTATGTTGATTTTTTTAAAAGTAATAAGACAAAAAATAATATGTGAAAGAATAATAATGAAGAGGATAGGAACAAGACGAGAGAATCCTACTTCTAGCAGGAAAAATCAAATTCCAAATCCATTGCGAGAAAAAATAGGGCCCGGTTCCATTAATGAGCTCAGTTTTATTGTGAGCGGTTTCACCCAAGTTCGTTTTGTCTAATTTGTTGTCAGCCGTTCAGATGAAATCCAACGCCTTATATTTGATTCTCACATATGGTCTGCAAACAGCGATCCGCAACTTAGAAAAAGGCGTTTCTTCATTTGAGTTAGGTACACCTTACCCTCTGTTTGGTAATATAAAGGAGAATTGTTAAACACGCAAGGATTGAATTGAATCCCACAACTTACCAATTCAAATGGAATTCAGCTAACCTTGCTATTTAATACTTGAATGATTTGATCTAGCATAGCATTAATAAGGTTTGAAAATTAATCCACATTGCATGGCATTGCAAGCCTAAAACACCTTAGCACTACAATACAATGATATTCATTTTTATTTGTAAGTGGGAGAGTTCAAGCATTAATAAGATTTGAAAATTAAACTGAAATGTATGACATGGCAGGCCAAAAGCGCCTTAGCCATGCTCGTTCTTATCTTGGTTGTCTTTAAACCATTTATCAATTCAAGGATCGAAATTTGAGAAAATGTGTGTGAAGTAAAAATGAGTGTATAGATAGCTTCACCCTTAACAGTAATCCCTAATTATACTTCCACTTTTTTCACTCTCAAAATTCAATTTGACTCTCCGTAATCTTTTATTTGTATATTTTGTTTTAGTATAAAGTAACAAAGGAAAATGGAGAAATTTATGGTATTCTCATAAAAAGAGGCTGACAATGTCACATTCCAATCTTGACTCCGCCGTAGCACAATATTGTCCGCTTTTGGCCCTGGCCAAGCCCTCACAGTTTTGTGTTTAGGAACTCATATAAGAACTTCCCAATGGATCACCCATCCCAGGATTGCTCTCGCCTGAATTCGCTTAACTTCGGAGTTCTGATGGAATCCGAAACCAGTGAGTTCTCAAAAAGCCTCATGCTATATGGAAGTGGGCATGTACATATAAGACACCCCCTCTCTGTCAGATGTTACAATCCACCCCCCTTAGGGGCCCGACGTCCTTGTCAGCACACTCGCACCACACGGCAGAGTGGCTCTAATACCATTCTAACACATCCCAGATCGACTCCGCCGTAACACGATATTGTCCACTTTGGGCTCTGGCCACGACCTCACGGTTTTGTTTTTGGGAACTCACACGAGAACTTCCTAGTGGGTCACCCATCTTAGGATTGCTCTCGCCCAAACTCGCTTAATTTCGGAGTTCCGATGGAATCCGAAGCCAGTAAGTTCCCAAAAGGCCTTATGCTATATGGAGGTGGACATGTACATATAAGGCACATCATCCTCTTTCCGTTGCTCAATGTGGGATGTTACAAACAAGCCCCTCTTCTCTTAATAATATTATTTTTTTCTAATTGAGCAATAGCGTTATTAAATTAAATAATTAATTATTAGAGCAAGGTTATTAGAGGAAGGAGAACTTATGAAAATTGAGCCTAGTTGTAATGATTGATTTGCGCCAATGTTGTTAATTGTCAACTGCAATAATATCACATATCTTGTTTTTACAACCACGATATATTTAGACTAAAAGACAAGGGAATAAATTAGTATCAAACTTATTATTGTTGAGATTCGAACCTAATACATGTATAAATGAAAGATGTTTATCAATTAAATTTTCGTTCAACACCTAAAGTTGGATCTTATGTAACATGTTTCTCATTAATACTTCATTTTGTTTCATTACTTTACCACTAAAGTGTTTTGAAGTTGTGGAATATGTAGTAATTGGTTTGGAAAATACAAAAATACTCTCTTCATGGATTAACTCATGGTCTCATGCAAAGTGCAAACGACATAAATTTTTTTTTTTTTTTTTTTTTTTGGGTCTTTGCTCTGCAAACAATACAACCAAACAAACAAAAAGATAACTACTCATGAATCTCTCCTTCTATGAGAGACCTTCTCTCCTTTCTGAGAGTTTTCTTCCCCCTTTAGTGAGGGTCTTCAGCTTGTCCACCTTCTCAGGTGTCAAGTCCGGCTTCGGCTGGAGTCAATTGCCACTTTTCCTTTTCTTCTTCAGTTTTCTTCTCTTTGCCCCTTCTCTGCTCTGTTCTTCTCTTTTCCTTTTCTTCTTCTATTTTCTTCTCCTGATGCTTTTCATCCTCCTTCATCTTCTTTTTACCCCTGCCCAGTGGCCTATTTGTCATTCAAACCCCTTTGCCTCTGTTGTCTCTGCCTTCAGTCCCTTTTCCAATTTCTCCCTTTTATTCCTTTCTTCCAACTTTTCCCTTGGTTTGCTTTCGTCTTCCTTCCACCTTTTCCATCTTTTTATCCTCTTTTCCCCCACGTTCCCTAATCTGGATCGGCTTCATCCTTCTCCGACTTCACAGTCCAACTTGGCTCCCACTTTTTTTCAACGCAATTTTTCGCGCTTCTCCTGGAAGGTGAGTAGAGCTTTTGATCGGATGTTCACACCACCTCCTTCCTTTGGTTTGCTTGTGATGGCACGGCTGCTAGTGGGTTTTGTCCCGCTAGCTTCCTTCAATTTGTGGCAGCTATAGCTGTGGTGTGCTGTGGAGGAGTTTGGGGCTCTGTTTTAGGGTCCTATTGTTACTCTGTTTTCATCCAGCTTTGGGACTATATTTCTGTTGCTTTCTGATGGTTGTAGGGGCTGTTCGTTTGGTAAGCGGGTTGACGGCAGAGGTAGGGAGTTGTTAGGGCTTACTTTGGTGTTTTTCCTGTTCAGGCCTCAAAACTATGTTTTGGGCTATTGGGTTACTATGGAGATCCATCTTTTTGTTTGTGTGTTTCTTGTATTTGGGTTTATAAATAAAGTAAGCCTTTGTCCAAACAAACAAAAAGATAACTAAATAAAAAGGAAAAGTGCCCAAATGGTGGGAGTTTAAAGTGTTGACCTAATTACAACCTATTCTTTTCTCACATTGGCCTAATAATTCATAAACATATACTCTATTTTTTTTTAGGAGTTTGATATATTTTTTATTAAAAGGAAAGGTAGTTCAGTTAAGACACAAAATGAACAACCTAATTTGGTATCTAATTCGTCATGCACAAGATTCAAACATATGACCTCTCACTTACAAGTAAAAATAAATACTATTAAATCCTAGTACTGAGTGACAAATATATGCTCAATTTAATTGTGGATAAGAAGAAAACAAATTTAATACAAGTGGTCCTTGCCAAGTGGTGAAGAAATGAGACTGAGGCAGAGACTTCGGAGTTTGAAATAATATCCCAATAGGTTGGAGGTTGAACTTTGTCTAGTCCATGAAAGACAAATTACAAACTATACAATTTACATAATGAAGTTATGGTTCCCCATATCTTGTCCAACTCCAACTCCAACTCATAAGTCATCATGCTTTTAATTTTTCTTCAAATAAATGTTCACCAAAAAAGGTATTTTTCATGATACATTTGTGATACAATGAAAATTTGCGTGCCACAACAGACTTCTAGCTCAAGTGGTTGAGAATACATATCTTAGCACAAGAGATCTTGTGTTTAGTCTCCTGGTTCATTCATTTGATAACCAGAATCATTCTTTGATAAATGATCATAGTACGTAAAATAATACGAAAGGAAAAAAGAGGGGGGGGTACGAAATAACCCTGGCGGATGCATTGGATGGACGTCAAGTGGTTGATATTATCCCTCCAAGAACGAAATTTCTTGTTTCATAAGACAAATCCATCAAACTTGATCATTAACGAGTAATCCTAATGTCTTTCTTCCCCCAAGTCGCTTGTATAAGAAAATATTGCTATGTATATATCCAAACAAAATCCTTTGTGGATATATCAAATCTTATGTGGATAGCAACAATGCCATTGCCAACAAAAATGTCTAAATCCAACATTCAACACAATCTAGAAAAAGCCACACATACTTACAAACACAGTACATACATGTCACACCATCACAGAACATGCATACCAGATCAAAGAAGGCACCAAACTCTTAGCACAATTATTACAACTAGCACATGGTATGATTTTGTAAAATACAACCATATTATTATGAGAGTAACAGTTAAAAGAAAGTCATGCATCCTTTAATAAGAGGAGCCTCCTAGGCAAATCTTGAATGCAACCGGATATATCTCTGTCTCTATTTCTCTCATTACGTACCCGATTACACACTAGAATCTCTCTAGCGGAAAAATCCGCAAAATCAATAATTTTAGAGGCTATAATACCAGATACAAACAGAAAAACACACAAAAAGAGAGAAAATAGAAACCATTACATATTAGAATGCTAAAGGTATGATGGCTCTATGGTGTTTTTTCTCAAACCCTCTATAACATCAGAAAATAATAAGCTTTTGGAAGCTGCTTTTAGCTTATCAAATAAGCTTGTTTAGAGTCATAATTCAGCTCCACTTTTCATCACAATTACCAAATTTATGATTAAGAAAAGTAGATTAAAAGCATAATAATCTATTTAATATATCTACTGAAAACTTGAACCTGGTGTATAAATGGCAAGGTCAGGCCACCCATTGGCTCCATTCCAACAGCTTGACGTTGAAGGATCACCATTTTGCAACCCCATATAGCTCTCTGGATTCCCATGGCTCTGGCCCTCTAAACCCGGACCCGGATCCGAATTCATCACATTACCTGCAGCATCCAAATTCTCCCCAAAATCACCCATTTGCATCAGTTTCAGACCCGACCCATTTGGATTCAGACCCTCCAGAAGCGACCCGAATTGCCCATTTGAAGTCAGGAGGGAGCCGAAGCTCCCTGAGAAGTCCATCACTCCGCGGTCTTGATCGACTTTTGAGCCGTAGGCCCGGGTCCGGTCGGGCTGCGGATCCGGGTTCTGAGCTGCTGCTGCTGAAGAGCTCGACAGTGACGATGAAGAAGTCGATGAGGAACGTTTCGAAGCTGACGACGACGACTTCTTCGTGTTTTTCCTGCTTCCACCGCCGACGGGGATATTTCTCAAAGCGCCGCCTTTGGTCCAGTACCGCTTGCAGTTCTTGCAGAAGTGGCGCGGCTGCGATAGGTTGTAGTTGTTGTAGTAGCAAAACTTGGTGTTGGAGGACTCGCAGCGCGGACATTTCAGCTGCTCTTGCTCTGGAAACTGGGGCTTCATGGGTTGGAAAGTTGCAGGGTCCTGCATTTTGTGAGACCCCAAGTTTCTATTTTTGACCAAAGTTTGGGAAATATGGAAGATTTGGTGATCTGGGTTTTGTTTTTCAGAAACGAAATCAGAGTTCTTGGGTCAGAAATCGAATCGTGAAGTCTGATTTGAGACCAAAAGAGACTGAAATTTTAACACTTTTCTGTGATGAAAGTGTGAAATAAAAGAGGCGAAATATAAAACCAAAGTTTGTGGAATTTGGAGCGTTTTGTTGAGATTTTGAGTCCAAATTGGATCGTGGGAACTGGAAAACCAAAAGGTTATTGGGGATCTGAAATGGCGTTTTAAGAGAGGAAAAATAAAAGGCAGTGAAATCTGCAGAAATCTGAAAAGAAGACAAAAAGGTGGAATTGTTTTTAGACTTAGATATGAGCTTCCATTCAAATCATCCAAAAATTACAAAATCTTTGAACCTTCATGCTATGTAGAGAAGAGAGTGAGAAAAACCATCCCGAAAGCCAAAGCAGAAAACCCAGAAAAACCAAATTACAAGATTGGATGTTTGAAATTGTTACACAGAATCCAGAAAAAGCTCAAAACTTTCAGCTGGGAAATGTTTTCATGGGGTCTGAATCAAAGAGTGAAAGATGGAGGAGTAGAAGGAGGAAGGGGAGAGAAAATTTGGGTGATTTTGTTTATATTTTTATGGAGATTATCTGTCTGTTTGTCCGCGTGGGAGTGACGAGCAGCTCAAATAGGAGAGACAAAGACACTGCCCTCTCTCTCTCCTCTCACACACAGTGGGCATATACTGGATTGGATTTAGCTAATCTTCTTCCTTCTGGACAGCCCCACAGCTTCCACTAATCACTTAGTTAATTAAAAAGTAATTATTTTTCTAATAGAAGAATGGTGTCAATAATTATTCTCATTCTTTGGGAGCATAAGCCCAACACTCTGTTTTGTCAATGATTTTAGGGAGATACTTTATTGCAAATATTTGTAAACCAAAGTCAACTTCCATGATTAAAAATGATTAGCCATAAAAAAATAATGTTTAGTTTTCAAAAGAAAAAAGAAAAATTTTTAGTTGAAATGAAATTCTCAAAAGTCTTAATATTCTCTAACGGAAGAAATTTTGAAACGTCTTACAAACTTATACTCATTTTTCAATTTGTCATATGAAAAAAAATTTAAACGATTTGTCATACTAATTTTTTTTGAAATTATTAGTTAATCATCCCAACCTAGCTCCGTTAAAGTTTCCATCCAAAGAATAAGTTATGTTGCTTGCAAAAACATAAAGAATATCATATTATTTTACCATAAACTAAAGAGTTCTCAGCGACTATATTTTGATTCATCTTCACTTCGCAAACAGGAAAGTAAGTACAGGTCGTTCCCCTTTTCTGAAAGACAAACCATTAGATCATCGTATGCCAGATCAACCATTCCTTTTGTATTGATTGAGAAACCTAGATTTTTTGTCAAAGACAACTGATTAGAGGAGTAAAGTGTTGAAATGATTGAAATAACCATGAACACAAGTCATGTGTAACTTATTTTAGCTGAAAAACTTAACAAAGTTAGAGTGTGATGACAATTAATGATTTCAAAAAGTTAGTATGACAAATTGGTTAAAAATCTAATTCATATGACAAATTAGAACCGATATATAAGTTCATATGACATTTCAAAAAAATCACTTTCTTTTATTTTCTAATTATTATTATCGTCCATGGGAGAATGGGGCTCGGACAAGTTCAACTGCCCAAGAGCACAAAATATATGTACGGATGATCTAGTAAAAAATTTAATTTAATACCTTATCAAGTTATTAAATCCCAATATGTAGTTTAAGGGTCTTGTTGTTTTGTGGAATGGAGTTTGACAACATATCATATGCCATAGACTTTATATTATTGTAAATTAATATCTTGATCAATTATATAAACCTATTATTTTGTGGCATGTGAGAACCACGACGTTTGTATTTGTCACATATGATAAAAGGTAGGTTTTTAACCAAATTTGTCCTTGAGATTTAAAATCAATAAAAATGATTCCTGAGATTATCTACCATCAATTATTTTGATCATTCTATTAAAAAACTATGTTAAGTGGTTCCTGAGCTTTTTAATGGAATGACCAAAATGATGGATGATGGACAATCTCAAGAACCAAAGTTATGTGTTGTGCAAATCTCAGAAACCAAAATTATGTGTTATGCAAATTTTAGGGATCAAAGTTATGTGTTATACCCTCAACTTAACAGAGTTTTTTTAATGGAATAACCAAAATAATGGATGGTGGACAATCTCAATGATCACTTCTATTGATTTTAAATCTCAGAGACCAAAGTTATGTGTTATCCAAATCTCAAGAACCATTTTGACTAAAAAGCCTAAAAGTTAAATGTTAAGGAAACTTTCTTAAAAATAAGACTATTCATGGATTCTTCACAATTTTATGTTTTTTCCACAAATCTGACACCAGTATTATACAAAATTGTGTCAAAAACATGAGGTGGCAGAGAGTCCCACTTTGAAAGTCTCATTAGCATTCTCGTGATTAAATTCATGTCATAATTCAAATAATTACTTATTTATGTGAGATAATGTCATAATTGAAAGTGTTTGCAATTTAACTTTTGGAAAAGGCTAGGGAGGTCAAATTTTTAAACCAAATGATGTGTCACTAATAGGAAATAAGTACGTTAATCAAAACTTAAGTAATAATCTAATTATTAACATGCACAGTATTTAGTTTACAAAATTTGATTAGAAATTTGATCTCTTTAGCGTTACCTTTAATTTTTTGTTCAATAATATCACTTGTAAAATGTAGAACAAATGGGTGATGTTATCCACACATTCATTTTACCTCTCACACACTTTTGTTAATTTTTGTCCTTTAATTTTCTTTAACTCATTCGATTCGATGATCAAAAATTAAAAGAATTATATGAGAGGTAAAAAATAGTGTGTGGATAGCACCATCCAGAACAAATAACCATGCCATTGCCAACAGATTAGTTATCTAGTTATGCTTGTAATTAGAGCATTAGGCCAAGCCGAGTTGCTGAGGCTAAGTCGCCAAGCCTTGAAAAAAGCTTGCGTGCAAACAAAGCGAGGAAGCAGTGGCGAGAGGGGATCATTGCCAGTTTACCATCAAATATTTGCCGCCAATTCTTGTGGTGGCAGCATCGTGACGGTCCATGTGTTGACTGTCGATGGGATCAAATCCTAGCGAGATATCTTTGCCCTAGCCCTAGAGTAGGTGACTCACTCCTGTTTTTAGGAAAGGAATTTAATTAAAACTCAGATATAAAAATCAAATAATCAGAAACTTAGAAATTAGAATTGATGAACCGCAAAAATAGTAGAGGTAAAGAACATACTTACAAGTGAAGTGAAATGATATTATGGTGAAATTTCAAGTTAATTACATATCTAAAACTATATTAATAAAATCTTATTTGTTAATCAAAAGAAGGTGAAAGATTATTTAGTCTTTTATTACTAAAAAAAAATGATGGGCAATTATGTAATTTAACAGGTTCAAATTTTATTGTTTTTTATTAAAGCCTCACCTAAAGGTGTTAAAATATCTCCAATATTCAAAATTAGGGTAAATATTAGTTTACCACTCTCAAATTTCGTGGTTTTCAACATTTAGTACATAAAGTTTTTTTCGTCTCAAAGTCATACCTAAAGTGTTAATTTTGGGACAGTCTCATACATCCGTTAATCTGGCTGTTAAGTACCCCTTTAACTGATGATGTGGCACCTATGCGGACAATGATTGGACGACACGTGTCATTAAAGGGTTCACGAGGACATTAATTTTTTAAATAAACTTTAAAAAATTAAAAATAATAATAAATTAATAAAATAAAATAAAAGGGTGGGCGTCTTCTTCGTCAAAGCCCCCGACCCTCCCACCCTTCTCCCTCCCTTCTTTCTTCTGCACCCACCCAACCTCTGCACATCCATCATTCCCTTTCCCTCTTCAACTCCACCCACCGAACCCTCATCCTCTTTGACGGCCCCATGAGCTCGAAGGAGCGTTCCCCACCTACCAGATTTGACAGCAAATCTCGGGAAAACCGACTGCAAATCTAGAGAAAAGCAGCAGATCAAGCCGCATTTGCATCTCCGACTTCATTCTCGAGCCTATTGAGCTTGAACTTGCCCTGATCCGAGCCGTGCAAGAGGCTTATGAGCCGTCGCAGTCCATACTCGGCCTCCTAAATCCTCTCATCTACCGCGATGAGCTCTTCCCTTCCTTGAATCATTCTGACACTGTCACCAATGGCGGTGGTGTCCGTTACTCATGAACCGATGCGGGAAGTCGAAGAAGAGATGGGGGTTAGGTGGGTGCAGAAAAGAGAAGGGAAGGAGGGTCGGGGGCCTTGAGGAAGAAGACACCCTTTTTTTTTTTAATTTAATTTTTTTAATTTATTATTGTTTTTAATTGTTTAATGTTTAATTTGTTAATTTTTAGGGTAAAAGACTGTTTACTACCCTCATGTTTCGTGGTTTTCAACATTTAGTAAATTAAGTTTTTTTCGTTTCAGATTCATACCTAAAGTGTAAATTTTGGGACAGTCTCATACATCCGTTAGTCAAATTGTTAAATTTGCCGTTAATTGTGACGTGGCGCCCATGTGGACAATGACTGGGCGTCACGTGTCATCCACGTTTTTTTTTTTTTCCTTCTTCTTCTTCCTTCTTCTTCTTCCTCCTCCGACTGCAACTTTTTTTTTCTTTTTTTTTCTTCCTTCTTCTTCTTCTTCCTCCGAATCTGGGGAAGTTTTTTTTTTTTTTTGTCTTCTTATTCCTCCTTCTTCCTTCCTCTTCTTCTTCATCTTCTTCTTCCTCTTCCTCCGAATCTGCCCATATTCAGTTTTTTTTTTCTTTTTTCTTCTTTCTTCTTCTTCCTCATTCCTCCTTCATCCTTCTTCTTCCTTCTTCTTCTTCTTCTTCTTCTTCCTCCGACTGCAACTTTTTTTTTTCTTCCTACTTCTTCTCCTTCTTCCTTTTTCTTCTTCTTCTTCCTCCGAATATGGGGAAGATGAAGGATATTTTTTTTTTTTAGGAAGATGAAGAAGAATGAGAAGGAAGAAGAAGGAAGAAGGAGAAGAAGGGGAAGGAAGAAGGAGGAAGGAAGAAGGATAAGAAGGGGAAGAAGGAGGAAGGAAGAAGGATAAGAAGGGGAAGAAGGAGGAAGAAAAAAAAAAGTTGCAGTCGGAGGAGGAAGAAGAAGGAAGAAGAAGGAGGAAAAAGAAGAAAGAAGAAAAAAGAAAAAAAAAACTGAATCTGGGCAGATTCGGAGGAAGAAGAAAAAGAAGAAGAAAAAGAAGGAAGAAAGAGGAAGAAGAAGAAAAAAAAAACAAAAAACTTCCCCAGATTCGGAGGAACAAGAAGAAGAAGAAAAGGAGAAGGAGAAGGAAGAAGAAGGAAGAAGGAGAAGAAGGGGAAGAAAGAATGAGGAAGGAAGAAGGAGAAGAAGGGGAAGAAGGAGGAAGAAGAAAAAAAAAACTTCCCCAGATTCGGAGGAAGAAGAAGAAGAAGGAGAAGGAGAAGAAGGAGAAGGAGAAGGAAGAAGAAGGAAGAAGGAGAAGAAGGGGAAGGAAGAAGGAGGAAGGAAGAAGGAGAAGAAGGGGAAGAAGGAGGAAGAAGGAAAAAAATGTTGCAGTCAGAGGAAGAAGAAGAAGAAGAAGAAGAAGAAGAAGAAAAGAAGAGAAGAAAGAAGAAAAAAAGAAAGAAAGAAGAAGAAAAGAGGAAGATTCG